ATTTCTCTTTAACTATGACTTGTTTTTATTCCAGAAAAATAAACAAATAATAGAAATCTATCCAGATACAAAGGAAGCCCATGGATAGGTTGAATTTGATTGTGGTTGGATAAGAAGTGTAAATATAAACCATCCTGACATCCTATTGGATTGAACTCATTGCATCACACCTGTGTGATGCAACATTTTAATTTAACATTATACATATTATTGACTTTAGAAGAAAGGGGGGGTTGGGGTATGCTACATAAGCTTTTATCCTTAATGGCTTTTTTAAGTGTTCATTACTTTTACTTTTATACTTTAAGTAGTTTTAAAACAATCACTTTTATACTTTTATTTGAGTAAAAAGCTTGAGTTGATACTTYTACTTCCAAAAAAGTATTTTAAACCCTAATATCTACACTCTAAAAATGAAATGTTGGATTTACTTAACCTTGTTATGTGACCTGGTTCCACTTAACTGAGTTGAGTAAATTCAAAGCAACATATTCATGTTCTTTGGTTAAAAAACTGGTATATTGCTTTGAATTTACTCAACTCAGTTAAGTGGAACCAGGTMACATAACATGGTTAAGTAAATCCAACATTTCATTTTTTACAGTGATGCTTAAGTAATGAATGTGAATACTTTTGACACGTCTGGTTATTGTGAATGATCCCATATTCTGTGTGAAATATTTGTCAACATTGGCTTTTTTAGTAAAACATTTCATGAATCACTCATTGGATTTTAAAGAAACTTGAACAAAATAATGACTGGATGCACTTCTACAACTGATTAACTTTGCAACCAATCATATTCAAGATGGCTGCCAGATGAAGAAATGTTTTAAAAAAAACACAAAATTGTTGTAATTCAGTCAGTTCAACCGATTTTGAAGTAAAGGCTCGATGCATATGAGCCTGATCCTCACAGGATCCTACCAGTATCTTGTGATCAACTTGGCAGATCCAAATTTCACCACAGTATTTCTGCAGATCTTGCAACGAGGTTTAATAGCTGCTTTCACACGTCACATTTCCAACAATAACACTTTAAATGGCTCGTGACGTAATTCTTCAAGGTTTGCTCAAAACAGCTCGTTTCCTCAGCACACGATCTAAACAAGCATACATTTTTAACTGTAATATGATTTTAAAATCTTTACTTTTGTTTTGACTCTTCCTCCCTATTCTTGTTTTTATTTTTTTTATTTTTTTTTTTTTTGCGGACATGCTCTTAGATCTTAGAAAAAAAAAAAAAAT